GAACATCATATTGATTAATAAAGACACAGACAATAATCTGAAATTGTGACAAATATCATTATCAAAATAGTTTGAATAATACTAAATACTGTTTTTTCTCTTATCCAAATATTTGCAAACTTCTGAAACATGGACAAAATGTAATGACTCAGTAAACGGATAAAGAGAAACAACACCATTATGAGAACTTTATGCAGTGAAAAATGACGCCTAATATCACATTCAGGTACCTGATCTACTAAAATACAGTATCTCTGTATGTATATATTGGGTTCGGTTTTACAGATTTTAATGTTCTATCAACAGCTAAGGTCACTTAAGGACGTTATGGGGCAATATAAGAAATTTCAGTATGTTACACTCCTTCACACCAGGGGTACTCGCATACAAAATTTGGTAATAGAAGTTGACAGAATATTTTAAAAAATGCCCAAGACAATGTGATGTACGATGAACAAATATATGAACTAAATTCCTGTAATAATATTTGCGAAGTTCATAATACCAAATCGGGGTAGAATTTTTAGACACATGTACAGATACAGATGTAAATGTTGATCAGCAAACAGTGAACCAGTCATACTTATATAACCGAGCTAGCAAGCATTTGTTTTAGCAACTTTTGGCTACAAATGCATACTTGACAAGGTTAGGACTACCATTATGAACACCAGAGGCCCAGAGGGCCTGTATCGCTCACCTGGATACCTAAGCAATCCCGGCAATATATTCTCCAAATGAGATCCAAGGGAATATGCCAGACCCCAATGCCAATCCGTGTAGCATATCTGTATTAGATTTTTCATGCCCAGCAATTTTATGTATGGTTATGGGGTGGGGATCTCAACTGTTTCCAAGCTGTGACTCAGAAACTAGGTCCCTAGGTTGTGGCCAGACCCCAGGATCAATTCTAATATCAGGACTGCATTTGTCTCTTTTTGCCCAGCATTTGTATATATAGTTTTGGAATGGGGATCTCGACTGTTTCAAAGTTATGACCCAGGGGTTAAGTCTGCAAGGGTGGTGCAGACTCTGGGGTCAATTTTAATATCATGACTGCATTCGTCTCTTTATGCCCAACAATTGTATATATAGTTTTGGGGTGGGGATCTCAACTGTTTTAAAGTTATGGCCCAGGGACTATGTCTCCAAGGGTGGGGCCAGATCCTAGAGCCATCCTGGAAGCAAATGTGCATTGTTCTCTTTATACTCAGCAATTGTATATATGGTTATATGGTGGGTATCTCAACCATTTCCAAGTAATAAACTTTTTTTGGCCCCCCCCATTAGCCCGGGGGGTCAGCCCCACCATTTGTACAAATTTGAATCCCTGCCTCCCATGAATGCTTCTGACCAAATATGATCACTCTCCATGGCATAGTTCTACAGAAGAAGTGGTTTAAAGCAATATAGTCAAATTGCCCCCTATTTGCCCCGCCCTCAACCCCCTGGGGAGTCAGCCCGACCATTTGTACAATTTTGATTCTCCACCACCTAGGGATGCTTCCAGTCAAGTATGGTTGATATCCATATAGCCAAATAACCCTTTTTGGCCCCCCTTTTGGCCCCGCCCCTCATACACCAGGGGGGTTAGCCCCACCATTTGTACAATTTTGAATCCCCGCCACCTAGGGATGCTTGCAGTCAAATATGGTTGATATCCATCTTTTAATTTCAGAGAAGAAGTCGCTTAAAGCAATATAGCCAAATTGCCCCCTTTGGGCCCCGCCCCTCAGCCCCCTGGGGGGTTAGCCCCACCATTTGTACAATTTTGATTCCCCACCACCTAGGGATGATTCCAGTCAAGTATGGTTGATATCCATATAGCCAAATAACCCTTTTTGGCCCCCCTTTTGGCCCCGCCCCTCAGCCCCCTGGGGGGTCAGCCCAACCATTTGTACAATTTTGAATTTCCATCACCTACGGATGCTTCCAGTCAAATTGAGTTAAATTCCAATCAGTGTTAAAAAGAAGTCATTTAAAGAGAAATTGTTGACGGACAGACGACGGAGCCACAGTATGGCATAAGCTCACCTTGGTTCCCTTCGGACCCGGCGAGCTAAAAATGGGGGAGGTGGGGAGGCACCCTTATAAATATATTATGGGTGTTGGGGTTAAAACTAAATCTGACCACCATTTCTTATATTAAACCACTTTTAAGAATTTATGGGCAGTGGTGTCTCAGAAAATACCTCCGCCCTGCCTCCCCTACAGTTGATTTTGGAACAGTCCATTACTAAAACCTAACAGGCCAACATTTTCTTTACAGACTGACTCCATTCGACTGTAGCATACCTGTACAGAGAAGATGCCTCGTGAGCCTTCATGGGTACCAACTTCTGGAAAATGTCCGCTCCAGACACCTCGGGGTCGTTAGGATTGAACGGAATTCCTTTCACTAATGATGCTCCTGTCAAATTGATGAAAACAATAACAATTACCAAAGTTTTTTTAAGAATCATACTGAATTTTCATAGTTCCAAAAAAAAAATAGGAGTGACATTTTTAGTACATATTATTTTCTAAATCAGCAGAGCCAGACAAATGAAAATATAATATCACAGATACTCCAACAAATTCAGATTTCAATGTTACAGAGGTCATTATTTTTTTCAATGCCTCCGCTGGGAGGCAAACCCAGTACTTCTGGCTTACTAGTCTTACGCTCTACCGAATGAGCTAAAGAGAAATGCTCCCTAGCCGAGACGGTATTAAGCAGCTAGTATTTTACCAGGGTGACATATACTCCCCATACAGGAAAGAACTTATCTGGAGGTTTTTTCCGGGGTTCATTGCGATTCTTTTGAAAGTACCACTGAGTATATTTGTCAATATTACCCGGGTCCCTGCGTGGGCGCCAATGTAACAGAGGTCATTATTTTTTTCAATGCCTCTGCCAGGAGGCAAACCCTGGACCTATGACTTACTGGTCTTACGCTCTATCGAATGAGCTAAAGAGAAATTCTCCCTAGCCGAGTCGGTAGTAATAAGCAGCTAGTATTTTACCAGGGTGACATTAATATTGAGTTATGTGAACTGACCTTTGACCTCTGCCAGTGTATCCATTGCTGGTACTTTCTCATGGTACACAAAATCATTGTCTTTTTTAGACTGTGTAAACCTGCAACAGAACAAAACATGACATGAATGCAGGCATCACAATTGTATCATAAATGTACTTGTTATGTTACGACAGAAATTTATTAAAGTTTTCTGACTTTTCCCTCAAAAAATAAGTACCGGTAATTTTATGTAAATATTTTAACCTGAATTCCTAAATGTATGACTTCAATATTTTATTTAGAGAATTACAAAAATCATCTGGAGACCCTGGGATTAATTCCCATGGCAGAGGTGTTGCTGTCAAAAAGAAATTATAAAATAAGTATATTTCCTATGTGTCCTCTGACCTATATGTGACCTCTGACCTATAATGTGTGACTTCTGACCTATAATGTCTGACCTCTGACCTATAATATGAATCTTTGTTATAGTAAATGAGCGCACACCTATAGCTACAAGGCAGAAAAGGGAAGCATTGGAACTCTTCTTCATTAGAGATACAATAACAGCACTGGGACTTTCTACCTTAAAAGAACAAACAGAGACTTAAGTGATTCATACTTGTATCATTGATACCTGTGAACAGGACCACTTACTTTGCAGTGACAACATCGTTCGTGAACCTCAGAGATTCCTGTATGTCCTGACCTTCATTCTGAAAGGTAAATAATTCACCATCTAAGGGTTAAACTGAACAGATTCTTTATTTGCTTACTCATTAGACTGTTAAATCTTTTGTTAAGTTAAGTTTCCTTTTTTTAAAGTGCCTGTACACTACCATTACTTAGACCATTACAAAAACCAAGACTTTCAAAAGTTTGAATTGGGATCCTGCAGACTCCTGGACCAATCAGTTCAACAAAATAAAATAAAGATGTACATGAGATCTTTTCTGTAACTTGATACTGAATTGTCAAGATATGTATTACAAATCACTTTCCCTTAAATGTATTAAAACTTATAAACTGCATTAATTTTTTCTAAATTAATTATTTTTAATTACAAGTCATGCAGATTGATATGTCTCGCCTGTGCTCCACTTTGACCATCAATGCACATGTCAAGTTTGGTTGGTACAAGTGTATAGCACTTCAACGCAAAAACGTGATGTTAATGGAGATGCTGACAAAGACAATGGATCATCATAGGTAGGCCGCATCCAGCATTTGATGCATGGGTTGTGATGTATTACCAAAGATGCATCTATGCTCTAAGTTTAGTTAGTCAAGCACTTATACTTTCAGTGAAATTAATTTAAACGCAAAAACTTCATGTTGACGCTGCCGCCGGAAAACCAATACCCTAGTCTTGCTTCCACTACTTCGTGGCGGTGAGTCAAAAATCGTCTTGATCGAGTTCAACTGTATTATGTATATTGATCTAGAATTAATTCAAATATATACATTCATCATAACAAGAGGCCCAAGGGCCTTAGCGGTCACCTGAGTTATATTACAGGTACTGGTAGCTTTATTTTATTGTTTAGATGTGATGTGGAAATCAGCATGTAAACTAAGTGAAATACAATACTTGTCATGTCATCAATGGATAAGAATTTGAAAATATTGGTAAATGTTCCCTTTGGGGCCCCGTCCTAGCCCCTGGGAATGGGGCAGGGATCCCAATTTTACAATGTAATACCCTCATTCACCAAAGATGATTCTGACTAAGTTTGGGTAATTTCCTGCTGAAAATGGATAAAATATACCCAAAAGTGTTATTTTCCTATATAAACTATAGTAAACTTTACCCCCTCCCCAAGGGAGAACGGATAGCCCGGGGGTCCTGAAATTTACGATTTAAATAAAGCCCCTGATGATTTTCTTTCCATGCAGAGAAAATGACAGTAGTAACTCTGAGTCTGGAGGAGAAGATTTTGGAAATATTGGTTAATTTTCCATCTGGGGCCCTGCCCTGGCTCCTAGGGTTGGGGTAGAAATTTCAATTTTACAATATGAAACCATCTTCCTCCATGGATAATTCTCACCAAGTAAAAATGATTTCCTACAGAAAGTTGTCAAAATATACCCAAAAGTGTTATTTCCCTATATAAACTATAGTAAACTTTACCCCCTCCCCAAGGGAGAACGGGTAGCTGGGGGTCCTGAAATTTACAATTTAAGTAAAGCCCTTGATGATCTTTCTTTCCATGCAGAGAAAATGACTGTAGTACCTCTGAGTCTGGAGAAGAAGATATTTGAAATATTGGTTTATTTTCCCTTTGGGGCCCTGCCCTGGCCCCAGGGGTTGGGGTAGGAATTTTGTAGCCTCATCTACCAAGGATGATTCTGACCAAGTTTGAAAAAAATCCATCCACTGGTTCTTGAGAAGAAGTTGAAAATGTAAAAAGTTTACGCACGACGGACGAGGACGGACGGAAAGCGACAAGAATAGGTCACTTGAGCAAAGCTCAGGTGACCTAAGAAGAAGATGCACAAAGGAATTAATACAACTTTCTCAGCTCTATTTATACCTTTGCCAGTTTGATACACTCGTTGAGTTTTTCACGTGAGGCAGTGTAGTAGGCGAGGTTTTCCCCGGCCTTCTGCTGTTCCTCGGCCTGGCGTCCCATGTAGTAGTGGGTTATGCACTGATAAAACATGATCTTGATGTCCATCCGCTTCTTCCACTCCTACAAACAAGTGTTAACTCATATTCATTCTATTGTGTTACAATATTTTGAAAGGGACAAGATGATAACAAGCACACTCTTTGTTTATTATAAAAAAAAATCAACAAATCTTGTTATCTATATAATAATCAAACGGAGAGACAACAAACAAAGCCGATATAATCACTTTCTCCTAAAAGAGGAAAATCAATCTTTTAGGCCAAGGGATGCTTGACTATTTATCTGTAAAGAGCAGAATTTTTGCATTTTACTCCTCTTGTCCCTGTGCACCCCCCTCTGCCTGCAAGGAGGTCTCTTACCATATCTGATCTAAAAGTGCCTGGGGCTCTCAGCAATTCGGGAAAATTAGAAGAAGCACACAAACCTTCCAATATTCCTATTAAAATGCTATATTTGGCACCTTTTACATGCAAGTTGATACAAACTATGAATTAAGTGATAGCACTCTCGGACAGGAAAAAAAGAAAAGGGGCACTTTTAAAGGATGTATGTAACAATCAAAAGAATAAGACCAGCTTATCAGCTTTTCAGGTCCCATATGGTCCAAAATTGAACTTCTTCCACTGCTACAAACAAGCGTTAAATCATATTCATTCTATTGTGTTACAATGTTTTGAAAGGGACAAGATGATAGCAAGCACACTCTTTGTTTATTATAGAAAAAAATAATTCTTTTAACTATTTGAAAGACAACACAGGGATTTTATAAAATAAATTTATAAAAAAATATCAATCTTCTATATAACAGATTTTAAGTTCCTTCGCCAAGGGATGCTCCATGCCAAATATATGAAATAGATGACCAAATGATATTCTCAACAGCAAGGCTTTATAACCTACAGTACCTTATTTCTTCTGGAGCTGATGAGTCCGTCACTATAGCAGGTCTCCAGGTTACGCAGTGCTATTCGGTAGAATTCTACAATTTGGGCAGCTACCTTTGCGGTGATGGAACATTTCCTACTGTCAATCATCGACTTCTCCAGAATACACTCCTGGGCTTGTGCCTTCAAATATAACATTTATATTACTGTTCAACAAGTAAAAACTTCCGATTGATTCTGTAATAAATCTTTATTTGCAGAAATAATTTGTTCCCAAACCTTATCTATATTTATATCATTATAACTTTATAAAAAACCTTCAATAAAAAGATATATTTCTCCTGGACCAGACAACTGTCTGTATATAAACTAGTCTAAAACATCTGAATAAGGAGAGTTAGGCACAAACTCTTTTTTTCCTTTTTTTTTTTTTTTTAATAAAAAATAAAATCATGTTCAATGAGGTCTTGCTACCAGTTATTATCTAAAACAAATTGAATTAAGTTTATAGCAGAAACTTACACCTATTGAATTATATTTTTACATATATTATTTTTTAATTCTGATCCTGATAAAACGATTCTATAAGTTTTACTGTGTCACCTTGAAGTAACAGACTTTCAATCTAAAATAAATCTTATAACTGTTAATTTATAATAAATTCACTTTGCCAACATACCAACATTAGGTTCATTTGAAAGGTCAAGAGGTCGTGTGACATATCTGCACTCATCAGGGAGCAGCCAAAGTGGTCTCGTAGGTACTCAAATGCCCACGAGGCACACTGGAAGTGTGTGCACGATACCTTCATACCCTAAAAATAGAAATTATTTTACACTGGTAGTTTGTACACGATACCTTCATACCCTAAAAATAGAAATTATTTTACACTGGTAGATTGTACACGATACCTTCATACCCTGAAAATAGAAATTATTTTACACTGAAAACGAGTACACAATACCTTCATACTCTAAAATTAGAAATCATTTTACACTGAAAGTGAGTACACAATAATTTCATACCCTGAAAATAGAAATCATTTTACACTGAAAGTGAGTACACAATACCTTCATACCCTAAAAATAGAAATCATTTTACACTGAAAGTGAGTACACAATACCTTCATAC